CAGCCGCCCTTGTGTACAGACAACGAAGGTCCACTAGGTGGCGCCATATTTACAGTCAGGCTGTATATCAGCTGGTCAGGCTGTATATCAGCTGGTCAGGCTGTATATCAGCCGGTACTGATCATGAGCCAACTTCCTGCTGCTTCTCTATAGTTTTCTGTATCCTCCTTTTGAATGATAATCTGAATTTATTCTGAATTTTTATATATATATTTGAATAATTTGGTATCACGCAGAACTGACTGTTTTTTCTTGTCAGACCCTGAAGTCTCTGAAGGTGCGAGTGTCAGTGATTGGTTTGTCAGCAGAGGTCCGAGTGTGTACAGTGCTGACCAGAGAGACGGGCGGCTCATACCATGTTATTCTGGACGAGAGTCACTTCAAAGAACTGCTGATGCTACATGTCAAACCTCCTCCTGCCCGCTCCTCATCAGAATGCTCGTTAATACGCATGGGTAAGTACACAAACACAAAAACCAAAGGTGGACTATTGTGTTTTTGCTCATGTCCGTATGTGTTTGTGTATCTGTCTGTTAGCAAAATGTCTCATGACCCAGTGGATGAATTTTTAAAAATGTGTAGAAGATAACCTGATGCATGCTCAATAATCCAGGTAGAAAAATCTAAAAAGGAAGACTTTCGGATGAAAGACGAAACGTTTCTACAATTTTTTTTTTTTTTTTTTTGAATGTCCAGAGGACCAGATTTAACTTTTTTAGATGTGTAGAATATAAGCATCATTTCTTTATAGTGAGTAGTGAGTAGTAGATGAGAGTTTTTCACAACACCTACTCTTAAGTGCCACTCATTGTACAAGATGTTTGCTTAAAACTTAGGCATTAATTTTTGTCAGTTTGTCTGTTAGCAAAATATCTCCATCCATCCATTCATTATCTTTTACCCGCTTCTTCCATTTTGGGTAACGCCGGTCGCTGGTGCCCATGTCCAGCAATCACTGTGCGAGGGGCGGGGTACACCCTAGACGGGTCGCAAGTCCATCGCAGGGCCACATAGAGACAAACGAGACAAACAACCATTCACTCTCTCACTCACACCTAGGGACAATTTAGAGTTACCAATCAGCCTAACATGCATGTTTTTGGTCTGTGGGAGGAAACCGGAGTACCTGGAGAAAACCCACGCATGCACGGAGAGAACATGCAAACTCCACCCAGAAAGGCCCCCGGACCGGGATTTGAACCAGGGACCTGCTCGCTGAGAGGCAGCAGCTCTACCAGCTGCGCCACCGTGCTGCTGCAAAATATCTCGTTAACTTAAAAAAACTAATTGTCCCTGAACCCCCTTTTGATCAAATGAAAGCCCCATGGTACTTAAAGGCCCCCAAAACAGATGATAGTCCCCAACTATCTGCCTGACAGAGACCAGGGGCGGCTGTGGCTGAGTGGTTAGAGCAGTCGTCCTCTAATGCAAGAGTTGGGGGTTCAAATCCACCAGCAATCACATGCCAAAGTGTCCATGGGCAAGACACTGAACCACTCATCGCCTCCGATGTGTGTCCCATTGGTGTTTGAATGTGATCTAAAGGTCTGATTAGTCTCTTTAGAATGATTTGTTCAATTAGCTTTGTAGAGATGTAGTAGAGTGCTGTATGAATGGGTGAATGAGGAGACAGATTGTAGTGTGAAGTAGAGGATGACACAGGAGTGGATTTTCACTCCTGTCCTGTCCTGGTCCCACAGAAAAAATCCTGTCCTGTCCCAATCCTGGTCCAGAGTAAAAAAAATAATCCTGTCCTGTCCCACTCCTGGGAACATGACTCCTGCTCCTGTTCAGAATCGCTCCCACTCCTGTCCTGCTCCTGTTTTTTTAATCATCATTTAATTTTTAGGAAATACATTGAATTTGATTTAATCGTCTACCCATTCCTGTTTAAATTACTTTGTGTTGTGCAGTTTTATTTCAAAAGATATAGGAACAGTTCATCTGTGGTGAAACAGACATTTCTTGCCTTAATCCAAACAAAAACCTTCACTAAATGTCATAAAACAAAAAATACATGGCCTGTAGTCCCTATAATTTTTCTACAGAGGATCAGCTGCTGAGTCCCTGTTTCTGGCTCTTTTGAAGGTCAGTTACAGTAAAAACAAAAAATCAAAACCAGTCCATGGGTCACACCATGTCTACCTTAGATGAAAGAACCCAAACATAACAAGTTGCATTTTACTAATTTATTGAGCTATTGTTTCCTTTAAACAGTGACATTACTGTCATGTTTTAAATTGTGTAAACAAACAAACAAAAACAAAAAAAGAAAAATAATGTACCAAGCAAGAGAACAAATAAAAATGTTTAAAGGCATTATTATACATTGGACGACGTCCTCCAGAAGTTCAGTCTATGTGGTCGAGGTAACGAGCTCGTTTGGGAGAAGCATGATGTCGTGCATCTTCCCAAACTTCAGAGCATCATTTACAGACTGGAGCATTGCAGGTCTGGTGTTCCACACTCATCTCTCCACAGCTGGACCAGTCCAGAGCCTTGTGTAACCTAAAAGTGAAAGAAGACAGTGCACAAGTCAAAATAGGGTTACTGTGACTACAAATTACAATTTGTTGGCCTTTCTTTTGGAAAAAAATATTTATCAAAAACAAAAGAGATTTACATTTGAAACTAAGTCAAGAAAATGTGACATTTGCAAATATAAATTACAGAAGCTCAATTTTTATTTATTTCACTTATCATATTTTATAATTACTTAAACAGACTCACCAGGCAGAGATTACAAGATTTATGTATCTCACCTGCTCTGTTGAAGAGTGTGACAAGGGTCTTTGTGTCTAAAGCTGTTTAACAGTTTGCTTCCAGAGCCAAACAGCTTCTTGTGTTAGGTAGAAAAATTAAATTAAATTAAAGACAAACAAAAAGCTTAGTGCTACTTCTTGTTGTGCCATGCTTCAGTGTTTCCCCTACCACTATATAAGCGGGGTGCCCCTCCCCGTCAACCGAATTGAGCACCCCGCTTACCAAACCAAACTTGCCCCCCCCCCCCCCCACCTGCCCACCCGGCACTGACATAGCACTAAGCTAGCAGTGAGAAATACAGGTTCTGTAGCTAAAAAGCTCAAGGAAGCACTCATGTTGCCTCTTCCCTCATGCTAAACGCTCCCTGCCCCCACTCAAAAACTGTTAGTACAAGCTGCGCTCAGACAAGTGTCCATCCCCCCATCAACAAAAATCATGGATAAGATGAGCACCCCGCCATGGCAAGTTAACTAGGAGAAACACTGTGCTTTCTAAAACAGTTATTGAATCAAGTATTTACTTATGTAGGTAAACACAAGTTTTAAAACCTGTTAAAATACACCAGAATGCAGGAAATAGCAGCTGCTTTATTCAAAAAGTTATGGGGGAGGACCCACAGGCCCCGCACCAATATGTCCCCCTACAATAATTCTAATGTTAATACACACTGTGTGGTTCAAGCCAAGAGCCATTGTCAACACTGGGGGGCTAAGGCCCCTAAAAATTGCTTCTAGAATCACCCCTGGTGTGAAAAAATGAACTGAGAAAAATCAACTCTTGGCCTAAAATTTAACACAACAACATACACATCATATCTTAAATCTAAAACTAAAACAGTTATTATAATATATATGCAACCAGTCTTTCATATAAAAACTAGGATATTTTTACCGGAGAATGCTTTCACTAACGAGTTTGTTGTTGTACTGGTATGGTTACAGCCGACAGTAACTATTCACACAATAAAGTGATGGTTATTCACGTTTTCCTCGATTTCAGTATCCAGCAGGACGTCACAATACAAAAATAGGGATATTTTTACCGGAGAATGCGTGCACTTTAACCAGGTAGAGTTCGTTTTTTTTCTATTTTACATTACAAACAGCGACAGATAATGAAGAATTTAACCTAAAAACCCACATAAAAAAGCAGAGCATAATTTTTAAATTAAAAGGGACAAGGTGGAGAAAAATGCGCAGATTCTGTTTATTTACTGACGGTAAACAAAGTCCGACTCCCACTGCAGCTGAAGATGAGACTAAAGTTTAAAGCAGCACAGCACCAACACAACTCTCATAAAGTTCAGGGACACTTTCCTGCCTGTTCTTTGACTTTAATAGACAGACAGTTACTTCTTACCTTGCGTTGCAAACTATTTCAGCCATTCGGTTTCTTTGGAGACTTCGCTGTTCCTCCCACCCTCTCGGTGAAAAGCTACGGTGTTTTGACTTGTGGGAAAAGTAGTTCTTTTGACTTGTGTTAAAGTGAAGGCTTACTGAAAGAAAACTACAAAATAGCTGCGCCGTTTTTTTTTTTTTTCATTTTCATTTTTGGTTAATGGTCGGTTCCCGCTCCTGTCTGCTCCCGTTAGCTTTCAGTTCGGTCACGTCCCGATCATGTGAGTTATAATGAGGTTGACTCCAGTTCCGCCAGAATCTGGCCGGAATCACGTGACCTACGGTACTCCCGTAAAAATGTCATCCCCTAGTGTAAAGCACTTTGAGTATCTTGATTAGCTTGAAAGGCGCTATATAAGTACAGTCCATTTTACCATGGCTCCCCAAAAACAAGTCTGAACTAAACAATGCCAGGATCCCAGACCCCCACCCCCACCCAGCTAAACAATAAACATAATCTTCTCACCTCTTATGCGTGGCTCCACTCGTTCACCACCCGTCACCTCTCGATCCAACAGTCAGAGCCCATACCACCACTTGAAGGTGCAGGGAAGCTACTCTTTCATCTACCGGGAAAAACTTCAACACACAGGCACCAAGTCGGGGGCTAAGAGTAGACCCACACCAGCTCAGCGCCTCTCACCATGAGCAACTCCAGAGTGGAATAAGGTCCAGCCACTCTCAAGGAGATTGGTTCCAGAGCCCATGCTGTGTGTCAAGGCGAGCCCAGCTACATCTAGTCAGTACCACTCAATCTCATGCACAAGCTCAGGCTCCTTCCCCACCAGAGAGGTCACGTTCCATGTCCCAAGAGCCAGCTTTGGTAAGCCAGGGTCAGAGCGCCAAGGTCCCCGCCTTTTGCCACTGCCCATGGCATCATGCAAACTAAAAAACTAGAATTAGGGGTGAAAATTAGAAATGTTTATATTGGCGTCATGGGATACTTATGCCCCTTTTCCATTAGTACCGATACGGCCCGACTGGACCCGACTCAGCCCGGTTCCGAGGCTTTTCCACTAGTAACGGTACGTAGAACCTGTTCCTATTTTCAGGACCCTTGGCTCTGTGGTTCTAATCCGACCGAGTAGGTATCAAAACATGACGTCAGAACACTGTCAGTCACTGATTGGTCGGGGGAGGAGTCACTGGATCCTTCAGAAACTTTTCAAAACATTGATCCACCATTTGTAATTTCTCGGACTGGAGCAGCGGCTGGACCTATTTTAAAGATTTTAAAAACAATAATGACAACACCTTGGTCTCATGCTGACGTACTGGCGTTTTTTGTGCTTGGTGGCCGACGACAAAATTCAGAGCAAGCTGGATGGAGCTCTGCTGGTCTCCCTGGTCCTCTATCCAGAGCCTCGGAGCCAGGCCAGGCAGGGCATCATCTCCCTGGCTCCGAGTTCCACTGGTCATCGTGGAAGATCCTCCGTGGTGCCGACTCGGGGCTCGGGCTCCGAATCCTAGCCTTGCGTGCTCATAACTTTGCTGGTCACCGCGAAGGATCATAAAAGCCTGGTGACTCGCAGAAGGCCATTGCCAGACGCCGGCCTCGCGTAATCATGAAGTCCGATTCCTGATCCCGGCAGTCAGGCAGACTGGGATGGGTCTGGGACGGACGGTGGATGCGATTTTTAAATAAACTAATATTTTGTGTTTATACATAAAATGTTTTTAAAAATCGCTGAAGCGAATAAAAAAACAACAACATTTTTTTAATACATAAAATGTTTTTAAAAATCGCTTCCACCGTTCGTCACAGATCGTTTCTGTCCACCTGTCTGCGCAGGTTGGGTTGGGCCTTCATGATTACGCGAGGCTGGGGTCTGGCAACAGCCTTCTGCGAGTCACCAGCTGAGCTCGGAGCCGGGAAGATGACGCCTGCCCGTCTTGGCTCCGGGGGAGAGGACCGTGTGAGACCAGCAGAGCTGGTCATAAAAAAAGGGGGGTTTTTTGCGTTGAAGATTAAAAAAATAAATACATAAATAAATGGTGCCGGCTTTATCATGAAATCCTGTTTTCACTTTAATGACTATTAAATAATCTGTTAAAGTTAACTCAGCTGAAAAATCATAAAAAACACAAAATTGTTGGATCTGTCAGGAATATTTCCCTCAAACATGTTTAAAGAAGAGATACGGCCTTTAGTTCAACTTTATTTTAACCCACAAATGTACAAATCACAAAACAAGAACTTTAAAGCAAAGCTAAGAATAAAAAAATATATATGTGAACAAGAAACAAAGCCACATATCTAAACTGAACATTAAAAGTAGACACAATGAGTGCAAATACATCAAATGATGAAGAAAACCTGTACAATTTTAAATATAAATGTTTTTGTAGAATCTGGTTCATCAGAGATTTAATGGTGAACTAAAGTTCATTAACAGGATTTATTTAAGGGATGGGGCCGATCGGATCCAGTATCGGCCTCCGATACCAGCATAATTTACGTATCGGATTTTACCGATCCAGCCTACAGAGATTTCCGATCCATGTTGCATGTTGGCTTCAAACTATGGAATGGATTTCCTGAATGGAGGCGTGTTTCATGAACCCAGAGTAATAAGACCCGCCTCACATTCAGGAAATCCATTTCATAGTTTGCAGCCAGCTACAACGTGAGGACTGAGTTAGCAGCACTGTGGCTAACGGCTAACCAACTTTTCATCTAAACATGTCCGCTGTGTGGAAGTATTTTACACTAGAAACACCACAAAACAAGACAGCAACGTCCAGTCTGCCCCGATCAATCTGCCCGTCTTTGAGGAGGGACAGACTGAGCGCGGCTGACTGAAATCAAACTGCCTGCTGCAGATTGAAGAAGAAGACATCGCTGAAGCCACAGAGCTCGATTGTTTACCGAGAAGTTGCTAAACTTCATCATAATTAATGACCAACCACTATCAGTTGTAGAAAATGAAGGATTTCGCAGATTGATACTTGCAGCCAAGATATAGTTTACTCTCTAGAGATATTCATCAGTACAACAGTAGACAATCATAAAAAATCATGACTTGAAAGTTACAAGAAAATTATATATACATATATATATATATATACATATATATATGTAGTATGAACATATGCTGATATATTCATAAATTAAACGGATTCTTTCATTTTTCTGGACTGTATAATGACGTGCATCTGAATTTAATAAAAATGTGGACGGAAACGTTAATTATCTTTGACTCACCAACGACAGTGGGTCATTTATTAACAGAATCAAGTTTAACACATCACACATTTACATTAATTGGCAAGAATTGAAAATAACGACAGCTTATTAATCAGTTTTACAGGAAGTAAACAATACGGCGATTGTTTTCTCACTTCCAGCAGTACAACAGACATTAACCACACGGCGGTGGTTGAAAAACTTTGCTTCAGACATTTCTAAAAATATCTGGATTAATTTCTTAGCAGATAGAAGAGTTTAAAGATTGAAGTTTAGAGGGAGGGAGATTGTGTGTGGTGAAGTGAAAGGTGTTGGACAGAACGGCACCCTCCATTCGACCCAGCTTTCCTCGGTACGCTCGGTAGTGAACTCGACTCATTACCTCTCTGACGATTATCAGTGGAAGCGGAGCTCCAGTTACGCTACCGGTCCAGCGTCTCCGTAGGATGGCAGAGAACCGTCCGGAGTGGTGGCGGGACTTCGTCAACAACAGTTCACCTCACGAGTGGACTTCACATGAGTGGAGTCCGTCAGAGTTCCACTCAGAGGTGGAAGATGTCATAATCCCCAATACTCGGAAGAGCTTTGAATCATGGCTGGACTTCTGTTCTCCCAAACGACTGGAGCTGCAAACTCTCCACCCGACTCCAACTGGAGGTGGAACCTCTTGCAGAACTCTCCATCTACTCCAACTGGGTTGAACTAGGAAGTACCAACATTTAAAGAGCTCTATTTCCGGTTCATTTGGGAGTTTCTGATTGGTCGATGGACCAAAACAGAGGTGTGTTTTGTGATGTAAGGTGTTATTAAAAAGTCAAGGAAAAAGATTAAGATTGTTTAAGAACAGACAAAAGATATTATGAAGAACTCAGACTTTGTGGAGTCACTTCTCTAGTATCTTGCTGTAAAAGTTAAACATGACATTTCTTTTTCAGTAAACTTGCAGTTGACCGAAACTTGAACTTTGACCAACTTACACCACTTGCTCATTTCAAACAGACGATCAAGAAATTGAATCATTACTCTGTAACATATTCCAACTTGATTTCACTTTGAATGAGGATTAAAAATCGTTATTACTGTTTCACAGTTGATTTAAAAATGAGTAGTTCACTTCAACATTTAAACATTGTTTGAACTAACACAATTTGATTATCAAACATTTGTAAAATAGTAATGATAATCGAAAGTAGTCTCTTTCACTTGATTAATTCAAGAAAGAAAGTCTCAGGATGGGTCAACCTGTATTTCTGGATTCAAATCAATGAAATGACAGTTTCTGTCCCATAAGGTCCTTAAGGTCAAGACTTGACCTCAGGCCTAGTTCACTACAGTCCCCCCTTTGGAAATCATCGCCTGTCCATGGGGATGAATTCCAACATGAACTTACGCCTTCGAATGTCCTTGGTCTTGATGTAATCCAGCAAGGAAAACAAAAGTCTTGATGTAATTATAATAATAATAATGAATTTAATTTGTAACTCACTTTTCATTAACAAAAATCTCAAAGTGCTACAGAGTGCAACTAAAATCAATGATAAAATCAACTAAAATCTGTGATAAAATCAACTAAAATCAATGATACAATCAACTAAAATCAATGATAAAATCAACTAAAATCTGTGATAAAATCAACTAAAATCTGTGATAAAATCAACTAAAATCAATGATACAAACAACTAAAATCAATGATACAATCATGTGGAGGCAGAATAGGCTTGCTTAAAAAGAAAAGTCTTTAAGCCTTTTTTAAAGTCAGCCAATGATTGTGGAGCTCTCAGATATTCAGGGAGGGAGTTCCAGAGGCGGGGGGCAGCCACACAGAATGCCCGATCTCCCATGGTTCTTAATTTAGTTCGTGGCAGGTGGAGGAGATGACTGTTCTGTGATCGTAGGGACCGGGTGGATGAATATGGAGCAAGAAGGTCCTTCAGATAATCTGGTGAATTTCCATATAAACACTGATGGGTAATGAGAGCAATTTTGTACTGAATTCTGTAGGTGACAGGAAGCCAATGGAGGTTATGGAGAATGGGTGTAATATGTTCAAATTTACGAGCTCTCAATAAAATCCTGGCTGCACTGTTTTGAATATATTAAAGCTTCTGAAGGTTTTTGCCGGGGATCCCAGTAAACAGGGAGTTGCAGTAGTCGAGCCTGGAGGAGACAAAAGCATGGACGAGTTTCTCTGCATCAGCAAAAGTGAGAGATGGGCGCAGTTTGGAGATATTTCTAAGATGGAAGAAACAGGTTTTAAACAGATGCTTAATGTGATTTTCAAATGTAAGATGAGTGTCCATTTTTATTCCAAGATTTGTAACAGAGGTGGTGGAGAGGGGGATGTCTTGTCCGGAAAATGAAATAGTCGTTATAGTTGAAGTTTGAACCTGGTGAGGGGTGCCAATCAGTATGGCCTCTGTTTTGGAGCAGTTTAACTGAAGAAAGTTCTGATTCATCCATGCCCTTATCTCCTCCAGGCAGGTAGAGAGGGCAGCGAGTGAAGATGGAGATGACAGTGGTGAAGATGATGCTCCGGTCCTGATGTAAAGCTGTGTATCGTCGGCATAACAGTGAAAAGAAATGTTGTACTGATTAATAATTTGACCTAAAGGCAACATGTAAAGGGAAAATAGCAGGGGCCCTAAAACTGACCCTTGAGGGACACCACAGGAGACACAGACAGTCTGGGACTTGGCATTGCCAAGACTAACACATTCCAGCCTATTGGAGAGGAAAGATTTAAACCAGTCCAGGGCAGTGTCACAGAGACCGACCTCCACATGAAGACGGTGGAGGAGGATACTGTGGTCCACAGTGTCGAAAGCTGCAGTGAGGTCAAGGAGAACAAGGAGGGAGGGAGAACCAGTGTCAGCAGCCATGAGGACATCATTGGTGACTCTCAGCAGTGCGGTCTCAGTACTGTGAGCTGCACGGAAGCCAGACTGAAACTTCTCATATAGGGAGTGTTGTTGTAGGTGGATCTGCAGCTGAGCAGCAACTGCTTTTTCCAGCACTTTTGACAGAAATGGGAGGTGAGAAATTGGGCGGTAATTAGAAAGAATGTCTGGATCCAAGTTAGATTTTTTCAGAAGAGGCCTAATGATGGCAGTTTTAAGAGGCAGTGGAACTTGACCAGATTACATTCCACAATGTTCTTGGTAATTCCATTGTGTTGATGATAATTCCATAATGTTGTTGGTAATTCCATTGTAGCAATGCTTTAACCCCCTTGGTAACAGAGTCTGTAATCCATTGGAAAAAGTCATATAATCCACAACGGTAAATCCACAACGATTGGAGGTGTTGATTGATCAGCATACAGAGGGGTTCCCTTGGATTGAACCGAAGATGCAGCCACTGGATGAAGATTGGAGACCAACGTCAGGATTGCAGGTCTCCTCCAGCGACGGTCGTCTCTGGGCGACCTCCAGTCTGTGCCGTTCTGGTTCAATGTGACATGCAATTATGTGGTTTAAGGTGGGCTTATGAAGGGGATTTTTCATAAGGCCTTAAACTATATGCACCTGGTGTGTAAGCTATTATGATTGGGAACAGCTACAGCTACCAGTTAAGGGATGGAACATGCTGAAAAGGGTAACTATAGGGGTTTATACCTAAAGAAGAGTGTTCCAAACTATTTTTCCATTCCTAACTTGGTTTAAGTTAGCTTTACATGGTAAAATATAGTTTGGTTCAATTGTCTGTTGTCTTTTAGACGAACGACTTGAGATTGGGTGTTTGGTT